AGCTGTGTTACTAAGAATTTAGATCCTCTCCACTACAAAAAAGTAGCGGAGAAACCACTACTCGTCATACCCCCGTGTATTGCACTCAAATAAAAAGTCACAACCATGACTAGATAATTAATGGTTGCGATTATATAGTGGTCTCTCCACTACTTTTTTGATAGTGAAGAAGATCCGAATCATGTTACCAACTCGATCTTGCGTTGTTGTTTCTGGTTTTCCAAATAAGCAAACAGAAGTCAAACACTCTTAAATGGGGAAAAATATAGAATACGTGTCATTGACAATTGTTCGTACTTAAAAAGTTAGAGAAGAGTTGGCAAGGGAAACTATTTTTGGTGATCAACCACATAAACTAAAAACAAAAAATACCTGCCACCTGTTTGACATCAGTTTCGGTACTAATGAAGCTCCAAAAATATGTGCTTGACAACAATATTATTTTAGTCAAACCATGGTTCCAAGCATAAAATTGTCCTTAAAACTATGATTCTTCCACTCCAAACCAAAGATTGTCAATAACATTCAACTTATATCAAATACACGCCTGGCAAACTTAGTTGCCAGCAACGCTAATTTAATAATGGCTCTCTCTTACACAAAAATATACAGGGAACTAGCAGTAGGAAAATATTGGAAGTCATGCTGAGCACTTACTCTTCGTGCTCAGCATGCAAAAGCTTGTACATAGATACTTGCATAAATACCAACCTCAAGCCTTGCTCAAAATCCAACCAAGAAAAACAAAAGAGAAACACATCGATTGTTCGCAAGATTTCTGTTTAGGGGTAGAATGGGAAACCTGAAGGCTCTCTTCATAGCACTAGTTTCCAATATTGCATTGGCAAACTCTGTTGCTCGAGCCAATTTTTACGCTGATACATTCTTCAACTGGGGCTATCAGAACACTGCAATCTGGGGTGATGGCGATAACCTTGCCTTGATACTCAACAATGTTTCAGGTATGGACTCAATATATCTTAATAATTCTTTGGACATATCTAAGAATTTAGCTTTCATGTGTGATTCTTAAATGAAGTTACCAATGCAAACATCTAAAGCAAAAACATCCATTCATGGATTGCTTACATAAGGCGGCATCCAGAGTACCTGTTCCTGCTTGAATTCAAACATAAACTCTATCTGCATTATATCAAAATAGGTCAGTTAAGTAGGTTTTAGATGTAATGACGTGATTTGCTAATTACGAAGGTATATACTTTTTCCAAGCATATCTGAGTGCAGTTTCACTGAAAAAAGAGTCTCTATACAAGTCAAGATGCAGAAAGGGTGAGCCTATAGACTTCCCTCTTAATTAGAAAGGAGAAAAAAATCAGAAGAATCAATTCCACTGCAGTAAATAACATAACTATGAACAAATGATTCGATGATATGTAAACATCATTTACACATCATAACCTTAATGGGTACATTTCGAACTCAATGCAGCGACTTAAAGTAGCTGAAAGTATAAGGTTTGTATAAGGAAATTAGTTTCAAAATACACTCAAAGTACTTTGGCCAATCATTCGCTTCATTCTTATTCAGGTTCTGGCATTCAAACAAGAAAACAGTACCTCTTCGGAAGCATAGAAATGCAAATAAAACTGGTCGAAGGAAACTCTGCAGGAACTGTAACTACCTACTATGTAAGTTATACCTTCTAACCAGGCCTATATGACTTTCAACTCACCTATCAATCGTCTGTAACTAAATTTCATATAGCCAAGCTATCACTAATTTTTTTTTCCTTCAATGTTTGTTACAGCTTTCCTCAACAGGAGAGAAACACGATGAAATAGACTTCGAGTTCTTGGGTAATCTATCAGGAAAACCCTATATGATCCACACAAATGTATATGCTCAGGGTGTCGGGAACAGGGAGCAACAGTTCTACCCGTGGTTTGACCCAACTTCTGACTTCCACAACTACACCATTCACTGGAACCCAAGTCAGATTGTGTAAGTCAAAGTCTATGATCTTAACTTTGTTCTCCATTTTCCACTATTTATAAGTTCCGATGGAAGTGATGTGCGGTTCGTTGCAATTCCCAACTGCAATGTAAGCGTCAGTTACTGCTGTTGCATGCAACTGTAGTCGCAGTTGGTTGGTTCAGTTTTAAATTTCCACAATTTGTAAATGCATTCATAGTTATAGGTATTTGTTTTTGAGGAACTAGATTTCTTTGGATTTACTGGGGATTGCTTGAAGTTAAGTTATGATTTAAACCCCATATTTTTAGCTAAAAAAAACGTTGCAACTGTACTTACAGCTAAATCTGCAACTAGAGGTGTTATTCTAGTTGCAATGGCACTTCTCAGTTGTAGTGAAAAAAAGGCTGCTACAAATCGAAAACGTCCCAGTTGCATCCAACTGCAATGATAACCCATTCAGCTACCAAAAAGGCAAACTATCAAGAAACCTCGCTCCAAATCAAACTTTCCTAGAGCCTTTGATCCCCTGAATTAATATAACATGAGAAATACAGAGGGTGCTGTATATAATCATCAATCTCGTGTAACTGCAGGTGGTTCATTGATAGTATTCCAATCAGGGTTTTCAAAAACCATGAAAACATCGGCATACCATACCCCAACCAGCAAGCAATGCAGGCATATTCAAGCATATGGAACGCCGACAATTGGGCAACTCAAGGTGGTCTAGTGAAAATAGACTGGAGCAATGCACCATTTATAGCGAGATATCGCAAGCTTAAGCTTAGAGCTTGTGAATGGAAAGGGCAAAACAGCATCTACAAATGTGCTTCAAGTACTCCCAATAACTGGTGGACTTCTTCAGAATACAGCCAGTTGAGTTACGCTCAGATGGGCCAGATGGAATGGGTGAGAAATAACTATATGGTCTATGACTACTGCAAGGATACAAAGAGGTTCAATGGAGACTTTCCTCCCGAGTGTTATCAACAGCCAAACTGATATCAACCATTTCCAGAATTTTTTGAGATTCGACCACGTTAATAAGTCTGAAAATTTTCAGGTTTCTTTGCTTATTGAAGAGTGCTCTGTGTGGTGTTTCGTTTCATGTAAGGTGTGTTGGGGCTTTCTTAAGATTTGAGTCTCCCTTGTATTCAATTTATTGCTTATGATCAACAGAATCGAGCGCGCTTTCGCTTTCCTGTTTGCTTTTGCTTTGTTTTTCCAGTGGCAAAAAATTAATGAACCAATAAATGTAATGATACAATAGGGTCACGAGCATCCTGCATTCTTCAATAAGCAAAGAAACACATGAATCATACATTCATATATTACGAACTTTCATCTATGTTTTACAACAGTATATCATGAGTTCCCAAATTAACTGCCCTGAACCATGACAGCGTTAGCCCACACTTTGCTTTGGCGACACATTTTAGATCCGAAATGTGCACTTTAGTGTAATATACTACTCATAAGCAAAACTCCAATAAATTCCCAAAAAAAAAGGAAAAAATTACAACAACGAACACAATCATCGTCATTCATCAATCACATAACACAAATCCAAACACCAAGAACAATAATGGCAGTACCGATCATCACGAGCCCGACCCTCGTCTCCTCTCCGAGGACCATCCCCGAGAGCGCGGTGGCAGCGAAGGTGGTGGCGTTGGTGACCGGGACTGCGACGGAGACCGGAGCGTCGCCGAGCATGTAGAAGAATCCGGCGGAGGCGCAGAGGTTGACGATGAAGGGGACGGAGTAGTGATAGATGGAGATGAGATCGGCCCACTTGCGGAGTTGGCCCACTGTGCCGAGGTACCACTATGATCATCTTTTGTACATCGCTGACCATCGGGGGAGATGAGTGAAGAGAGAGAGAGAGAGAGAGAGAGAGAGAGAGAGGTTGGGGGTTTGGACTTCGGAGAGAACGAGCGAGCGAGCGAGAGAGGGGCCGAGCTCCTGTGTGAGTTGGGGATTTCTTTGGAAAATTTGGGTCGGGTCCAGATTTATGGGCTATAGTCCAGGCCCAAATGCATAATGATAGTAAGGGGAAAATGTTCTTAATCTGACACTAGATTCAATGGATTATCTGCTTTGTTTATCATTATCTAAATGTCTCAAAACATCTATGAAACAAAAACCACGATGTTTCAATACTTTCAACATATATTTTCCATTGTCTCTTTAGTTGTATCATCGTAAAACCGTTAATTTTATAATTATTTGATGCACGAGTAACTATAACTCAATATACCTAATCTTTTATTTATATACAATCCAAAACATATGAATTGTAATGAATGGAGAGGATCGAGTAAACTAATTGCATGTAATGTAGTTTTGAAAATGCTTCCTTAGATTGAATCTAAGGTACCACCTTAGGAATACTTTCCCCCAACAATAAGAACAAATAATAACAATGATAATAATAATAGTGTAACAATTATCAAGTGTGTAAAACAGAAATTTAGGGATTTGTGCAGGAATCTAAGATTATCCTTCTTTTGCCGTATCATGACAATGGATTCGGTCTTTTGGAAAGTTTTTTGATATCTCTATGTGCGAGATGGGGAAGTGTAATACCTATCACTAGGAAGTCAAAAATTTTCTTTTTTTAAATAAGAGCTAAAATATGAATTGCTCTGATATTATCTTAAAATTCACTACCACATAATTGACCTATTGCAGCGGTTAAGTTGCAACGGTTTTAACTGTTACGTTAGATATCTATCGTAACAGTTTGCAATGCCTAATACAACAATTTATAAAAAAACGTTGCCATAGGTCTAATAATTATTCCTAGGCTTAATAATTGATCATGGGTTTAATAAATGTTTTTAAAGCCCATGTCCCTGACCTGTTTAAACGAAACTCTCTCTCTCTCTCTCTCTCTCTCTCTCACGAAAATCCCTAAGCCAAAAATTTCCGCTCCCTACAATCGCCGTGGCGTCGTCGATCTCATCACTGAACTCGTCGCCGTTTCATCTTGGATCTCATCTCCAATCTCCTCTCCGATATTATCTTCAAGGTCGAGCTACTCTCGTTGGTTCGATCTTTCGTACTGGAGATCGAAATACCCCTCGATTTTAGGTTTTTTCTTCTTTTGATGCCTTCGTTTTCTCTAATTGCAGTTGTTTTAGCACGGAATTGTTCGGTTCCGCTCTTGATTTAGGTCTTATGCGGGGACTGGAAACCCTAGCAGTCGTTTTGTTTTTGGGCCGAGAAGTCTGCAAAACCCTATCTCAGTTCAACTGGTTGCTTAGAGATTATCTAAAGGCTCAATGCTGAGGTTTTGTAGCTCTTCTTCTGAAGTTTAATTACCTCGCAAATTTCCCATTCTCTCTTCGCCCCTAAATATTCATTTTGTGATTTTGAGCCCCAAAGCTCTTTCAGTTGATGTTTTAAACAAGATATTCACAATGCTTGTGTTTGTCTAATTCAGGTGTTGCTTTAGTTATGAAAATTTTAGCTTTGTACCTTAATTAGCATGTTATAGCTTTTATATCGATCTGATGACTGATTTAATGTTGATGTTATACGCCATAGCAGCAGCACAATTATAGCTTCTTCACGTTTGATATTTTCAACTTTACACATAAGTCTCTCTATTCATTCCATAACAATTTTGCCTACCTATATTTTCATGAGTGAACAATTTGCAATTTCCTGAATGTATGCCTTATGTTGCTCTGAATGAACCATTTCTCTAGAAATATAGGAAGTTAGGTCTCTATTAGCTATAGAGAATCATTGTTAACTTATCTCTTAGCCTGTTAACTTTTGCTCAGAGTGTACAAAGCCCTCTTCGTGATATGTCCACCCATATTAGTTCACTTTTTCTTTTTATATCCTATGGGACTTGCAATGTAACTGCTAATATAAAAAGAAATCGGCTTATATAGGATACAATCTAATGAAAAGGAGTCCTTAGATATACTTCATGTCCCAAGAATGTTGATTGAATATATTGTTATTAATGGCAACAAGAGGATTGATTTTTACATTTCATTAATCATAATATTTATATGTAGTTATTAATAGTGTTAATCAATTTTTTCTTTCTCCAGACCATATAATAAATGGCGGAAAACAGAGATTGGATGTATAATGCTCCTAGAGTGAGTGTGGAGTTCATTAATAATGTCAATGACTTTCTTGAGAGAGCATTTGTTAATGGAGTAGTAGGGGATGAAATATGTTGCCCTTGTCGCATTTGCTGTACTCAATTATATAATAATACATAATTATTTAGAGGTATGTGTTTTGTGGGGTTATGTGAAGGACTTGTTCATGATTTACTAGGTGACCTATGTTGCATGAGTACGGTTACAGATGTGGGTGCAGATGCGAGTATGGGTAAGGACACAAGCAAATTTATTAAAAGTAGGGTATGTGATCTCGACTATATAACAATGAAATTTAATAAATTTACGTGAGATCAATAAATTTTTTTTCTCATTCAAATGTTATGAGAATCAAAATTTGTATAACACTTTTATTTCTCATTCAAATGTTATGAGAATCAAAATTTACATAATTAGTGTTTTAAGTTAAAACATGTTTTGTCAGTTGTGTTGGTTGATTGCAGAGCCCTTTTCTAGTTTTTAGCTCATAACGCAAGTCCTTTTAGTAAATAGTATTATAGTAGACAACTCCAAATTTCTAACTCTTTCATTAAAGGTTACGGAAGTCTTTCTATGTAAATCTTGTCTCTGCAGCATTATGCTTGAATTGATAATACATATGTGTTATTTCATTAGTTCTAATACTTATGAATAATATACTTTATTAGTTTAGACTTTTGATCAAAGGATTCAAAGCTACATAGTTAAAATGTTGTGCATGTGATAAGTTGTAGTTCGAGTGCCGACCTATAGTTGCTAGGATAAATATATTCTTTCCATTTCAGTTTTAAATGAACCATACTTAAATTATATTCAATTTTGTTTCTCATAAATGCGTGACAGACGTGGAAACATGGGGAAGTGCATAGTTTCACATAACTATGAAACATGCTATTAAGTGAGATGCTTGTACAAAAACTACTGGAGACAGTTCCCACTATTTTCTGCTTGTATTTGCATCTTTACCTTAAGATGCCTAATATCATGTATGTTATTCTTGGTTTTTCATATCACGTATATTTCAAGTAAGTAATCAAAGCATGCCCCTCCTCCAGTCTTTAATTTTCTGCAGATAAGTTTTCAGTGGAGCACAGGCGTCGCATTCTATTTTTCATTTTGATGTACATTGTTTGAATGTTAGTTCGGTACGATATTTTCTGAGTTGAAATGTTGGTAGTGTGGATTTAATACTTTGTAGTTTTTATACTATACTGATGTATGTTGGCACTTATCATTATGGTTGATTATGCTCAACATAATCACTTTTATATTGTGTATTAAAATTTGACTTGGCCATGTTCTTAAAAAGATTGTCCAGGTAATTGAATACTATATTATTTTGACGTAGGAAACCAAGAACAGGTCCGATTGAGCTGTTGCAATAGCTCGATTAAAACCGTTGCGATAGCTCGATCAAAACCGTTGGGATAGCTCGATCCAAACTGTTGCGATAGCTCAATCCAAACTGTTGCGTTAGGTCTTTTAAAACTGTTGCAATAGCTCCAACTGTCGCCGTAGCTTTATCAAAACCATACTTATAGCCTACTAAAACCGTTGTGTTAGGTTTTTTAAAACTGTTGCAATAGCTCCAACTGTTGCCGTAGCTCTATCAAAACCATAGCTTTAGCCTACTAAAACCGTTGCGTTAGGTCTTTTAAAACCGTTGTAATATCTAAAAAACCGCTGTAGTAGCTTGAAAACCGTCGCAATAGCTCAATCAAAACCGCTGCAATAGCTTAAAAACCGTCGCAATAGCTCAATCAAAACCGTTGCAATGGCTTAAAAACCGCTTACCTTTTAAAACCGTTGCGTTAGATGCAGGGGCAACGGTTCAAAAAACCGTCGCAATAGAGTTCAAAACCGTTACGGTAGAGGTAGGGCAACGACAGCATATGAGGCGGTTTGAGAACCGTCGCGTTTTCTCAAGGGCGACGGTTCCATGGCTAATGCAACGGTTTTGAACCGTTGCGTTAGAGCAAATATGTGGTAGTGAAATCTCTTCCAATTTTGAAAAAATTATAAAGTTATGACGAAAGTTAATGGCGATAAATTTATACTCCAATAACAAATGGAACTTGTATTACTACTAAATACAAATACACATTCCCTAACGATAAAAGTCTCTCCCTCTTCACAATAATAATAATAATTCTCCGATTCCTAGCGATTAACGTCTGCTGTGGTCTTAAAAGGGCAAGGGTGAGCAATGCAGGACACATGATCGTGCCCAGCCGATATCACCAACTTACTCTCCCAGTCGCCAACTGTCGCCGACGGATTCTGCTGCGTCCCCGACGACGGATTCGTCCCCCTCCACTGCTGATGTTGCTGCTGCTGATAATACATAGCTAACACGTTGCCTATGCTCCTCATCTCATTCCCATCGTCTGATGATGATGAGGAAGAAGAGGAAGAGTCATGTTGACACCTCCGAACGCATCGGGTGATCGAGTAGAGCAAGATTCGGATGCCCAAGATGATCGCGATGACCGTCGCAGTTATCAGCATGTAGCCGAGAGTTGATAAGTGAGCGTGCTTGCAATAAATGAGTCCTACGCACACCATTCTTTTTTGGTGTCTATAGTTTAGTGAATTGCTTTTTGTTGATGTATATGAAGGGAGGAAGGTTGAGATTCTTTGCTTGGGTGGGAATACTTCGCATGCTTTTGAACCCTGTGCTTTGCTTAGAGGTAGAGAGACAGAGGGAGGTCTCTGTCAATTGAGTTGGCCGTACATAGTTTTGGGGTCAGTTTGCTAGCTAGATGCATAAGTGGGCTTAAAGAAAATTACCAGATGAAAAAGAAAAGAAAAAACTTAATATAGTAGATGGGTGTAAAATGTACCTCATCAACGATGTATCAAAATGACAAATCTTGTATATATCAATGTACAAATTTCTGTCTGTACTAACTAATTCAAGAGTATTTATGTTTTTGGTCCACCAAGAATGCACTATACCGCAATATCTATTTTCTCCATTGAAAGAGATTAAAACGTTTTTCAGCAGTCAAATTTCCGAATTAAGAGAAGGACGAAATTTTCAATGGAGAGTTGCTTTTATATATAGTCAACCACTAGTATGTGAAGTACATAATAATTTCGAAGAACTGAAAATAAAAAATTGTACTGTCATTAACAAGAAAACAACCTATAAGATCAATTAAATTCACTAGGCATATATGTTTTAAATGTCAAAAATCCTCGTTAAATCAGTACGAAACATGAGAGCTTACGCATGAACGTGCTCGTTCAAGAATACTTATTCCTTCGGACCACCACACGGACAAATGAATCTGATCCTTAAAAAATCATCCGTCGCGAAAAATGTCCAAAAAATGAAAAAAAAAGAGAGAATTTTTATTTTCCCTTTTAACATTCATATTTCACCAAGGACATTAAAAAGGAAAAAAGAAAAAAAGGAAAACACGGGCGCGCGCGCACAAAAGCCCCTGCTTAGCGAAGTAACCCAATTTTACAAACACACAAGTGACGACCAATTGCCCACCCCATCTCTCAAAGTACCGCCTTCTGACACCAAGAAAACCTTCTCTTTGCCCTCTCGTCCAACTCCCTAATAACCCTCACAACCTCCGCCAGCACCGCCGCCGGCTCGCTGCATTCTTCGACTCCAACCATCGTAGCCAAAACCCTCAACTTCATCCTCACCCTCTCCTCACTAAACTCTTCCTCCTCATCGACAGAGCCGACCTTTTGATCCTCAGCATCCATATGCTTCGTCGACTCAACGAAGGGGTCGAGGCTGCACAAGATTTTGAAAGGGTTTGCAGTTTGGCGTATGAGAGCTGGCTATTGAGTTTAAATGCACGTGTACGTTATAATTTGATGGGTGGACTAGTGCACAGCTAGCTTGGCTTTATTGCTATACACGGAATGCGCTGAGCGTTGCAGGGCTGTGCAGTGCTGGTGTTTATCGTAGAAAGCATGAGCACGCGCGAATTCAATGGGACTGAATTAAATCATGACGACAAGTTTTAAGTGTGTACGTACCTGCGTTTCCGATTAATTAGTTTCCTTGTGATGATCAGGAGCTACCAGCTTGCAAACGGACTGATGTGAGGATTGGGTTTGGGGCATTTTATAGTAGGAAAATTGAACTGGGTTTGGTTTATGTAAGTTTTTAATATAGTTAAATCAAAAA